ATTAAATAATATTTCGTGATATGTCGTGATCAATTACGTGCAATTTTTCTTCTTCAGATGCGTATCTTCCTTCCTTTCTTTCTTTCTTTCTTTCTTTCTTTCTTTCTTTCTTTCTTTCTTTCTTACTTTCTCCTTCATGCAAGAGCAATAAAATCCCGGTGAGCTTTTACGAGTTACGTTGGATAGTAACGGACAATAAAATTTTACGTTTCTTTTAGTAATAAGATAAGGAAAGAATTAGAATTTAAATAAAATTAATTTATTACGTTAGCTTGAGATATTATGCAATTAAAATTGAGGTATTATTGTAAAAATAAAATGGGATTTGTGTTAACGATAAAATATAATAATATGCAAATGAATGAAAAGAAAGAAGATATAATATTAAATATTATAAATATGAAGAAATTATTATTATTATTGAATATAATATAAGATAAAATAAGATAATATAATATAAGATATATATATATATCTTATCTTATATTATATTCAACAATAATAATAAATAGGAAAATATATTAATATATAATGAAAAGAAATTGTTAAATACAATAAAAATTTTAAATAAAATATATGAACATATAAAAAAGCAAAAATGAAATAGACCAATGTTAAATACTAATAAAATATATCATATGTTTTATTTATAATTTATATACATATATATATATATATATATATATATATATATATATAATTATTTTTTCTATATAAATACTAGATAGTATATCATTTTTATTCAGTATTTAAAATATATTTAAATATATATATATATTATTATAAGAGAGTATTATTGAACGTTCACGAATGTTTAAAAGGTCGAATGTTTAAAAGGTCGAATGTTTAATTGTCATTGAAAAATATTTCATGGTAATTTCAACAGTAACGTATTTATAAGGAGGCTTTTTATTTCCATTATTATATCGAATTATTACGTTACAGAGTTTCATTGGAAAAAAAAAAAAGTAATAATAATAATAATAATAAAAACAAAAAGTAAGATGATTTTTCGAGATCTTGTGAGAATAGCGTTAACGAGAAGATTACGGAAAGGGTGAAAAGTCGACACGTATATCTGGAAAATCGCGTTACGTTGGAAACAAGGCGCGTTTGTTCGATAACTTTGAAATCCTTTTTGCAGTTTCACGGTTTTATAAGCATGCAACATCGGTTCCGACGCCTACGAACACATGAAGCTTATGTTATCCATTATGACTTTATATATATATATATATGCATATGTTCTATATACATATGTTCTATATATATAAAACTCAATTTTGGAAATATAGAGAAAAAGGTAGAAAAAGAGAGAGAGAGAGAGAGAGAGAAATATAAATATTTTATTAAATTTATTTTTAGAAGAAAGTCATTTTGTTTCTGTTCAATAATGAACATAAAACATCTTTTCATTTTTTACATATGTATACCTACAAATATACAAAATATAAATCATATACATATATATATATATATATATATATATATATATATGTAACAAATTTTATACATAAAAAATAATTTATTAAAGAGAAGAATATAGATATATGAATGATATAGTTAATATGATAAATAAGAAAGATAACCCTCTTATATCCATTCATACACACGACTTGTATTTCACGTCATACAACACAAAATCAGATGACTTTTACCCTATACGGACATTCACATATTTCATTCGTTCATGATTCATATGATACATCCATATCGTACCATCACTCATACGATGTTCGCTTCTTACAAATTGACCATTACTTTCACCCATTTTTCTTATTTTATTCATATTTGTATATCAAAAATACGTTTTACTCAAAATATATACCTATATATATATATATATATATATATATATGCATTCTAGAAACATATACATAAATTATCCGATAGAAATGACGTGTTATTAGATGATATAAATTTAAACTGGTAGAATTTCAAAAATTTTAATATTCACGTGAATCGAGAAATACGAGTAGTCTAATCATAGAAACGATAAATTATCCCTTAACTCACTATTATATAGGTATGTAACTATGTATGTATATAAACGATGAAAAATTTAAGTTATAATTGAAAGAATTTTAACAAAGTCATATGAACAGCTTTAAATCTTTTTTCTCTCTCTCTCTCTCTCTTCTCGTCATACAAATACTATCGTAGCCAATCTGGAAATTTTCTTTCGACCCTTCACACTTTTCAACTACCCTCGTGTAAAATAGACGACATTCGGAGAATATATAAGGTCATGGTATGTCATCGATCGTGAATGAAAGTTCCGTTCGTTTAAACTTCCTTTGACTCACGTACAAATACACATACACACACACACACACACACACACACAGCACACACACATACATAAATATTTTACCTATGTTTACGGGAAAATTTAAAGAAAAATCGAATTTTCACAGACAAGTCCGAGAAGATTTTACGTTCGAAAGATTTTAGCTGAAGGTTAGATGCACTCGCCTACATTTTACCTAGTAGAAATCTAGAAAATTCGTTGAAAATCTAATTTTCACGGTTTATGCTTCCCAAGTGACACGCATATATTGCATACGCAAGTACATACCTAGTATGTACCTAAATAGGTAGAAGCAAGTGCTGACGTACGCGCTTTATCAACTCGCTAACTCGATATTTTCTTCCTGAGTGTAATAATCGGATCGATGGAATCGCAGAAGAGATAAAAAAGAATGAAATTGAAAAGAAAAGAAAGAAAAACGAGAGGATTCCTATCTTCTGGCTTACAATCGATCGAAAATTAGAAATCGAGATCGAGATAGTGACAAACGTTTATCGTCCGATAATATTTCTTCCTGTGCATATATATATATATATATATATATATATATATATAATAGTTGAGTTATATCCAACAATAAGACTGAACAGCAAAAATGATATACGTATCCCTATTACATTTGTCGATAAAAATAAATTTCCTAAAAGGAGAATGGTCTTTTATACTAACAGAAAAAAAAAAGAAAAGAAAAGAAAAAAAAAAAACAGAACAAAGAAAAAGATAGAAAAAGAATGATATCGTCTAAGATCTTCAAAAATTTCTACAAACCTACGTAAGATTGTAGCCTTTCATGTATTTTATAGCCTATTTTATTTTGTAGCCTTTCATGTATCCATTATAGCCTACATTGTATCCTTCGAAGTATAGAAGTCATCGACATTTAATTCTTTTTTTCTTTTTTCTTTTTTTCTTTTTTCTTTTTTTTTTTTTAAATAGAACTTCATTTGTTGCCTACACAAAACTTGTAAAGCAAAAATCAAAGGAAATACAAAACATTCTAAATTTGTACCATCGTGACCACTGACAACGAAAATATTATCTTCCAAGGTTTATCGATATTATAAACCCAAACGTACATATATATATATATATATATATATATATATATATATATATATACAACTCATTAAACATCTATTTATATATTATATACATGATAGATATACAATATATGTCTTTGTTTAGGTAGGTGAACATGTACCATATTCGCGCGCGCGCATGCATATACACTGTGAGGGTAAGAAAGGACTTGCAAGAGCATCGAAGCGTTCCTAGTCCAGTAATCAGGCATATGTGCTGGCCATTGACAAGCATCGAGCCATGATACGTGTTCGACCGTGAAACGATCGATGCCCTCCCTCTTATAACACGTTATATTCGATATCGCGATATATACATATATACATATATAATAGACGATATCGTGATAATACGACTCGAACTAATAATCCCACTAAAATTTGATAATTAGAAATTTAATTACGAAATATTTCTCTCTCTCTCTCTCTCTCTCTCTCTCTTTCTCTCTTTTTTTCTCTCTTCATCGCTACCCAATATATATCTACTCACCTTAATCCTACCAATTATATAATGAATTTTCTATTTTCTCTCTATATCTATTCTCGATGATGAAAAACTCGGTGATTGCTGAAAATTACAAAAAAAAAAGAAAGAAAAAAAAAAGGAAAAAAAGGAAATGAAAGGAAGAAAACGACGCGCTCGTAAACTGTAGTTGGAGAAAAAGAAAAAAAAAAAAAAAAGAATGACCAAAAGAAATTACGAGCTTATTTTTTCGTATTTTCTATCTATTCCTTCCTGTCATTTTTGTAAACATCCTCTCGAGCATCTATCATATATTAATCTTTTTGTTTTTCTCCTTTCTTTTTTCTTCTTCTTTTTTTTCTTTTTTTTTTTTTCTTATCTCGAAATGAATTCAGTAAAAATACATGCATTATTCGAATATCCATTATCGTAATGTTTTATCGTCCGATCGTTCATCAAAAAATTTCCTTATCCGTATGATTTATTTCCTGTTAGAATATCGCTTTTTCTTTCTTTCTTTCTTTCTTTCTTTCTTTCTTTCTTTCTTTATTCAATGAGATATTGTTCATATAACATTTACTTATTCTTTTAATATAAAAATCAAACTTACTTCTAATATCTTTACTACAGATAAACATCAGAAGAAAAATATCAAACATAATAAATTTCAAAAACATTCAATAAAACAAAATATCGATTTAATATTATTTTCTTAGCAACACACACACACACACACACACACACACATATATATATATTATATACACACACACTTCATTAAACATCTATTTATATGTTATATATATATATGTATATATGTAACATATAATATATGTCTTTGCTAGGTGGATGAATATGTACCATGTACTTTGTGGTACAGGCACAATATATATTATGTATATCCATATATATATATATATATATATATATATATATATATATATATATATATATATATATATATATAAATATATACATATATACATATTTGACGTTGTAATAAAACATTAGAGATAAAGTAATAATTATCATTTACGGAAGATACGTTCATATGAATGCTCTCGTTAAACAATTAACATTAAATAACGAACGATAATAATACATTAAATGATTATTGATAAAAATTGTTATACGTTTTTGTTTAAAGCCGGAGAATTGCATATCGACGTACGAACCACATGCATATTGCGTCGTTTATTCAACGACAGATCGTGCTTCAGTCAGAGTAGCCGAGGAAGTTCTCCAAGCCCTTTGGCGTAGTGACCACGTATCTGCGAGGGCGGTCATTCTCGTTGGAAACAAGGTCGACCTCGCTCGGAGTCGTCTGGTATCGACCGAGGGTAATGTATCGTTTATATCGTTCACCCTCCCATCAATCTGGCCTCACTCCCCACTCTTCCACTACCTCTTCTCACAATCCGCGTCTATCAAAATCCTTATCGCCGCGTTCAAACGCAATTCCGCATGCAAGCTGCACCATTTGCCACGGTCCCACTTCCGAGACTCTTTGTTAAACGTAATCCTAGAACAACCTTGTCTTGCTTCTATGTCTCATGGTTTCCTTTCGACATACATACATATAAAATAGTAAGAGTAATAATGTCTACGTATATTACTGATCGTTTTCTTATCACTTATGATACTTTACTTGTACGATTAAAAAAAAAAAAAAAAGCTCTTAGATCATTTAAGTAATATACGAGACGTATCCGATCATTGATTGAAAAGTAATTTATTTATTTATTTATTTTTCTTCTTTTCTTTTTTACTACATATTGCGAATTGTCGGTTATTATTATTATTATTATTATTATTATTATTATTATTATTATTATTATTATTATTATTATTACTATTATTATTATTATTATTATAATTATTATTGTTGTTGTTGTCGTTATTGTTATTTCTATTATTGACGATTATAAAAATTTTTTATTCTTTTATAATTTAAAAATCGAATAATTTAAAAAAAAAAGAAAAAAATATAATAATTACAAGGATTACGTGAACATAATCATTGCATTAACATAATCGGTAATTATAGGAATTAAAAATTCAGAATAATTAATCAGAATATTAATAATTAATCATCGTCATTACGATTATCATTGAGTTTAAAGGTATTCTCGTGTATCTCATATTTCATCGTAATCACGTGATATTGTATGAAGCATATCTCTGAAAAGGACCGATTATCACGAAAATCCGACGCACAACTTTTTCAGGATTTCTTTTCGTTAAGAATAGGATAAGAGGAAGGAAAAAAAAGTAAAAGAAAATAGTCGTCGGAACGAGGCCAACGACCATGGCCCGAGGAAAAAGAAGCGAGTAAAACGCGATAGGTCAAAGGAACTCTCTTTTTCCTCCATTCACCACATAAACGAGCTTTTTGCACATTTTAAAAGACGAGAACCGCGATATTTCATTCCTCGATACTTTCATGGTTTATTGAAATTTTAATCGGCGATTCCGATCATTTAATTGGAACCCGATCGACCGATCAAACTTCCTATTCGAAAGTTTTCTCAAAAGCGGACACGATTAATACGGAAGTTTTAAAATGATATTTAAAAAATCCATTGTGTATATATATATATATATAATGTTTAAAAAAATGATAACAAAGTAGTATGAAGAGTTAATAAACTGTTGCGGTAACTTTTTTGTAACTTATTATTCTTTCAATAAAAACTTAATACAACGCGTGGAACTTTATTACGTATGAAGAATCAATTATTGTGAAATAACAAGAAAACGTTTGATAATTATTTTATACGGAAAATAATATAATGCACGTTATTTACGAAGCTTACGTTGTAAGAAAAACAAAAAAAAGAAAAAAGACAAAAAAAATGAAAAAAACAAAAAAAGGAAAATCAAGAAAAAATATCTCCAAGAATTTAATAATCATTTGAAGTACTCTTCGCATTATATACTTTTTGTTCGTTCATTAATATTAATCGCAAAACTATCAATTTACTTTTCGTCAAATCTGTCAATTCGACGAGTACTTGGAAAAAAAGAAATAGGAAAAAAAAAAAGAAAAAGAAAGAAAAAAAAAGAACAGTTATTATTTTTAAATTTATTTAATATCACGACAAATAAATGAACACATAATGAAACGAAAATAATTTTAATTAAATGATTTTTCGTAATGATAACGTTTTACTATAATCGTAAATCTGACTTTTCCATTTGTTCGATAATTTTACCGTTAATAATAAATCAACCGACACGTTTATTCGCGGAACGTTGAAAGCTCTTATTAATTTTTTTTTCTTTTTCTTTTTTTTCTTTTTCTTTTTCTTTTTTTTTTCAATTCCCCAATCGTCCTCAAACAAGTAAAATCTACGTTCATTTGAAATAAAAAGTAACAGTCAACGGATACATCGATTTAGTCCATTAGATATTTGACGTCCGATCAATGAAAGAATTTCCTTCCGGTAATGAATGTACCAATAATTTAAGCTAACACTACGTGTAAACACTTGTTAGCTCTGCAAATCGTCCATTATTTATCGTATGGCAACACAAAGGAAGAGAATAGCAACGTCATTGTAGGAAACCCCACAAGCTCTTTCTGAATTCTCTTGAATTTCTCATAATCTGGTAGTAGAACAAATAGTACGGTATTTTTAATGGTTATATTGGTTTATATAAGGTGTGGCATTTATGTATATGGGAACACCTGAATATCTTATGGAAAACGGACCATCGCGTTATCATCAATATCTCAATTGTTAAATACAGAACATATATGTACATACATTTACATATATCTATACATATGTGGATACATAGGGTTTACAGTCCGATTACCCTTAAAATGGTCCGTTGTGCACAATGACTATATGCGATGTGTATGTACATGCGCTCGTAAATGCGTATTACTTCGAGGGGAAGGGAAAAAAAAGAAAAAGAAAAAAAAAAGAGTGAAAGAAAAAAACTCTGAAAATTTTTATCGTCAATTATCGTCCAAAAAGGCGATATATTAGTTCATTCACGTTACGCTATTAACATTATCGTCAAAACATTTCACGTGCATTTTTTCCTTCGTCTAAGCCAATTCTTTGATTAGACATTCGTATCTTGGACATATTATAGGATTGTTTCACAAATATTGAAAGATTTGTTTCTTTTAACAGAATATAATCCTATATACAATATCGTATAGAAATGCCGAGTTCGTGCAACATTAATAATATAAAATAATTAAATTGCTTTGACGTTGAATCGAATGTAATCGAGAAAGGGACAGATGTTTCATGACATCTCTACCAAGGTCAATCTATTTGACTAACTATAATTTCTTTCTATAGAGATAGATATAAATGATACCGTCTTTTCAAACAGAAAATACAAGAAAACGAATGACTACTGGCCACGGTCATAGAAAATATATGGTTGAATAAGGTATAAACAAGAGTTAAATTATCGTCTAGACATCTGTTGAGTTACACATAATTCCCACACATCGTATCTATGTGTAATGTGATGTAATGTGTAACTAACTTTGAGAGTTTCTCTTAGAAATGACACATGAGCACACGAAAGTGATAATCGTATGTAATCTTATTGCAACGAGACCATTTAAACCTGTTATGATTTTACCGATTTTTTATACATATATATATATATGTGTGTGTGTGTGTGTATGGTTGAATTCAAATTGAAATTTTAGCTTAAAAGATGAAAAAATTTGTTTTTTAGAAAAAAAAAAAAAGTCCGAAAATGAGAAAAGTCTTAGAAAATTAGTTTTCAAATAACAGTTTTTTCTTTTTAAACGTAGAAAAAAGACAGAAAAAAAAAGGAAAAAAAAATCAAAACGAGGCACCTCGTACTCGATATATTTTTCTATTTCGATTAATTTACGAAATGGATATAAGCGTAAAAATTTCACGCTTTTAAAATTAAATTATATCGTAGATAAGAAAAAACTCACGTCTATTTCTTATTTTTCCTTTATTCTATCGATTCGTCAAAATCAAAGTCAATTATTTCACAAATTTTTCTCATAAGTATAAACTTAATTATTGGTATTGTGATTAAAATTTATAATATACGATATTATATAATATCAAGCAAATTAATAACATTCAGGTGTTCCTACTTAAATGTTTTATTCTGTAAATATATTACAATAGGTATATCAAAAATAGAATAATCTAATTATTACCTTTTCTTTTTTCCTTTTTTACTTTCCTCACTAAATTATTTCTCTTACTATAACTTGTTAAACTAATTGATCATCCATTTATTCTCTCTGTTAATATAATGACCATATATACTATCATAATGCAGCGTTATTAAAATTCATTGCACTCGATACAATTTGTCACTAATTGTGGTAAATTAACCAGTTATTTTGTGCTACATACTTCGCAATTTATTTTGTATTTTGAATAATTAGAAAACGAATGAGTAGGCGTGCTCCTGTAAATAAATAACGAAAACCTTTTTAACAATGCGTTAACAAACCACCTATAAATGATTATTTATACGTTTTCTGTGGTGGCAGCTTCGAAATCGTTTAAATAATTAAATTTTCAAGTGTAAATACGCATACGTATAAATTTTACGATAAAATCGATAAAACCGCGTTGATTAAATAAAAAAATATAAGAAAAAAAAATCGTTTAATTTATAGACATAAATAGAACCTATCTATTTATAATAATTAATCATCAAATACTTATAAATTCGTCTAAATCGTTAAAATTTTTTCTAAAAAAAAAAATCTAAATAAATCGTTTGATAAACTAAAT